TAGTCCTGGTTTTAGTCTTGGTGTTAGTTCTGGTTTAGAGGCTCACAGGAGGAAGCGCGGTTTACGCAGCGTACGCGAGAAAACACGATCCACACGCGGCTCACGGGAGCACGTCGGTGTCCGCGCAGTAACTACGGAAGGAAACGTGGTCCGCGCGTTCTCAGGTTAATGACGATGATGAAGGTGTGTGTTTTGTTTGTGTGTTTGTGTGTGTTTGTGTGTGTTTGTGTGCGTGTCCCCTCATGTGGCAGGTCACTATAGGACAGTAGTGCAGACATCATGAGCCTATGCAGGTTGTTTTCACCAGTGACATTTACGTTGTAGGCGATTTTATATTTGTTATTTTCTTTTATATTTCACGTCGGGAGAATAATTTCCAAGACACGAATGTGTTTTTACCTGTGCACCTGTTCTACTGGCTTTTCGACCTCGTCAATTGTGTGACTGACGCCGCAAACGTGAACATGACGTTTACATCGCTCTTACGTTTTGTGTGGGTTTCCGGCAATGAGTGGAATTACCGAAATAAAAAAATGTATAAATGTGTTTTTTGTGTGTGTGTGTTGTTGTCCCAACAACACATAAAAACAGGTTTTATAATAAAGCAACTCGCATACAGAAATACTAAAGTTAGAGATTAAAAATTAGATTAACGCGATTAAAAAACATAACGCGCTAAATATGACTGTAATTAATTAATCGCAATTAACGCCATAATTTGACACCCCTAATAATTATATCATTTTAACTTGTATTGCTAAGGAAAAAACATGACATTTTCAATCAAATGTTGTGAAAATTATTATTAGGGAGGCTCCAAGCAATCTTTGCATCAATATTTTGTATTGCTACTTATGTAGAAGTTTTATTGCCATTTATATATTGCTTACTCTTTGTTATTGTAATATAATGTGATGTGTGAGCTACTGTGTCCAAGTAATTTCCTTGGTGGATCAATAAAGTTTGTCTTAGTCTAAGTCTATATAGGGGGCCACCGCACTGCAGACTTTGGGAATGTCATTTTCAGCATTAAATCATAGTACTTTCTTTTGTATTACCATGTGGTGATCTGTGTAGTCCCTCAGTCATCCAAGTAGGTTCCATAGTGGTCCATGGGCGCATGCTAGTCTATGTATACACCCATGGACATACGTAGTCCACAAAACACAGCTGTTAATCCAGTTTGAGGTGTTCTTTAAAAGTAAAAAGGCGAGAGTAGTTCCTCAGGTGTGTCTGTTTACATCCACACAGCGCACGGATCGAGGTGAAGCTTTAAAAATCATGTATCTGAAGTATCGCACCACATTTCAAAAGTAATAATAAAACAGTTTTGACTTGTATCTAAACTAGAAGTGCAGTGCTCTGATCTTTTGGACACTTAAGAGTCTCAAAGCGAGTCGTTTTACTGTCAGACAGGAAAGAGCTGACGCGATCGTGCTCACAACTTGTGGTCTGCAGACATATCCCGCTGCAGTCTTTGCAATCAGAGATTTAAAATCTCATAAAATTCTCCTCGTGTCTGTGTTGTGTGTGCTTTTTGTCGCATATTTAAAAATCGTTTAAGACCCAAAAATCCTGTTGTGTGTGACTGCCTTAAAGCTATTCAAAGATTATTTCTGTCCTGTGAATGTGACTTTTTTAGCGCAGCTCTAATAAATATCTAGTTTCTAGTTTTGGTATGGATTAGTATCTGATTTTCTATACTTGACTGAAGAGTTTGATATAGATTTATAGAAGTTTTTTTTTTCCCAAATTATGATATTTAAAGGTGCATTGTGTAACTAACCCTAACTTTAGTAGAGGGTCTCCCATCTGCTTTTTTCCATGCCAATGTTATTGTTTTGTCTTTAATGTTCCACAGTATGGCATTAGACTTATGTATCTTGCATTTATACAATTACAGGTGTTTTTCTGCCCTAAAATACATTAAAAAACATGTATTCTTACTGTGAGTGGGGTTGTCTCTCCCCAGATCTGACCTGTAACTTTACCTGGTACAGTCATGTGCTAGTCTCCATGGATATAGACAGGTTTAATGCTGTACTGTGGGACTTGCAAAGACAAAGCAAAAACATCTGCATGGAGACAAGCATGTTGCGGCCATTCCACCAGAAAAGTTACGTAGTGCACCTTTAAATTTACTACAAACTCACCCAGGGCACTTTCTTTACCACAAGCCTATAGGAGAGCTGTATAGTCACGTTTCAGCAGTTATCTTTTTGCACTAAAGCATTCAAATGAAGCTTTAAGTGTATTCTTTATGTATCCAAGCCTAATCTCGCCCCATCACGTACTGTCTCATTCACTCACATATTTCTGTCTCCCTGTCCTCATTCTTTAGTTCTTTTGGCTCTCCTTGGGGTAAACCCGGATTTGGCACTGGGCTTTCTTATCTCAGAAATAAGTAGATTTTTCTATTCATCACATTATCCGTCTGTGCCCTGACCCCTGGCTTCTGTCCATCCAGTCCATATTCTCCTCCTCTTTTCCTGTTTCTATGCGTTTATATCATTCACTCTTCTGCCAGGTTTGTACTTGGCAGCCTGCTCATTCTTCTTTCATCTTTTGGTTGACGTGCCTCCTCCTTCTCTCCTGTCTTTTCACTTCCCACATCCAAGTATTGATATATCGTTATTCTAAATTTGGTGATAGTATCATTATTGTGGCTCTATCAATATATCATATTTTTTTGTATCCTTTAGTAATTTTTGTGTGTGACATACTACAATTCTGTTTCTTATTTAGTGAAAGGAATGCAGTGCACTTGACATATTCACTGTTTTGATGATTAAAATAGATATCATATTAACTTTGCACAAGTACTGGTTTAACAAAGAAATTTTTTGCTAAAATGTGTTTAGTTGTTAAAGAGCCCATATTAAGCTATTTTCTGGTCTCTGTTAGATTGTTTCCTCATCAAAACATGCTTTTCCAACTTGGTGCTCCACTGTGTTTTTAAACTCCATACACCATTACTAGAATGATTTGGATAATTTCAGCTCTGGAATTTCCAGTCTTTACTGAACTAAAGGTGTCCAAGGTAAAAAAAAAAAACAAAACAAACACACTACCACTTCATGACATCACAAGGTGAAACAGAGCATTTTGAGCTTTGGAGATGTAAACTAATAATAAAGGGTTACTGAAATGTGTGAATGAAACAAAACACAACTTCAGGTTTCTGAGGAGGTAAGAACATTTTAACATGGCTTAAACCTCACAAGAGTCAATTTTGCGTAATAGTATCACCATATCGTGATAATATTGTATCGTGAGCCATGTATTGTGTATCGTATCGAATCGTGAGGGACCCCTGTGATTGCCAGCCCCCCTGCACATGTTGCTGCTGTGGTTCTGCAGGCTGTGTCCTTGGCTGGAGGTCAAGTGGGGATCCTCCAGTTAACCACTAAAGAGGTCCCTCGTCAAGAGCCACTCTACATGTGTCTCTTTTTGGAGCAGAGTAAATGCTATTTCTGAACATGTGTGCGCTGTGCCTCAAGGACATGTGCCTCTCCATCTACAGAGGAGGTGCCGGGCACACTGTTGTCCGCCGGTGACTGACCTTGACATGTAGAAATATACACACCTCACGTTTGCCGGTGATATATGACGCGCAACGCTGCGTGTTTCCTCATAACATCAACAACGATCACATCAAATTGTGCAATAAATCTGGCGAGGAAAATACATGACTGTTCCAGTATTCGCGCTACAAGTGGCTGTGGTGCAATGAATCCAATTTTTATCATGTCTAAAATTATATTACAAATAAAATGGTGTAAGTGGTGTAATTTAAATGATGTAGGCATTTATTCTGCCATTAAAACATGGAACTTGTAGAATCTTGACTTTTAAAACATGACTTATTAAAGCAAATATATTAATAATAAATATTAGTGTGACAAAATATTGACTTATTGTGACTAATTGTGTGTGTAATGCAGCTGACGTATTCATGGTTTTCATGATTTTTTTTAAAAAGTATATTTGATTAAGTCTTGTCTTTTTATGTAGACAGAGGTATAATGAGAAATCCTGAAGTAATGTGTGTTTATTTAAAACAGTAACATATCCTAGAATATAATTGCCATGTGATTATATTATATGATTATCAGTGATAAAAACTGATATTAATTCTATACCAGCGGTCTCTATTTCCTCCACTGTTAACCCTTCAAAATCATAATTACAATTTCATGTTTGACCCAAATAGTTCTAATTATATTTTTTCCCATAATCGAGAAACCCTGGTGATAAGTCACCCTGATTTCTTCCAAAGAGGAAGAAAAAGACCCAGATAGAGATGATGAAGCAGCAAATCAAACCGCCCACTCCCATTGGCTTACACAGCGATAATGAATTACAGGAAAAGCTCAGTGGGAAGCCCAGAGCCGCTCACCTGGAGTATTAAGCACAGGCCCCATCCTGTGCATGATAAAGCGTTCATGTGCTGTCAGGGGATAGAGCTAAGTGCTGACCATGTAAGTATGTACGTGAATATTGTATGGATGTGGTGACTGGTATTGAATGGGACCACAGGTACAAACATGTTACGTGTTTGTGTAGGTCAGTGTTTCTAAGGGCATTTCCCCTCATAAATAAATCATAATAAAAAGAGGTTTATATAGCACTCACTCAAAGACACTTGACAGAGCATTATTCATTCACTCCTCACTCAGTGGTGGTAAGCTGCCCTGGGGCAGACTGACAGAAGCGAGACTGTCAATCTGCCTAATTGGCCCCTCCGACCACTACCGATCATGCACACAATCACCACACTCATACTAGGCAATGTGGGTGAAGTGTCTTGCCTAAGGACACAACATCAGTTTTTGCCACTGGTGCCCCACTGTGAAACCTGGTATTTCCAGCGATCTACCATCCAAGTACAAACCAGGCCCAGCCATGTTTAGCTTCTGGTATCTGACAGGATCAGTCTTTGACAAGGCGGTATGGCATTGTACATATAAAATAAATCAACTTGAACATGAAGCTCCTACCTGAGCGTTTTGGTGGTCATGTCGGCGGCGGTGATGCCATGGTACACCAGCGTCTCATTCCAAACTGGGTTCAGAGTGTTCTTCAAGGTTTTTGTGCGAAGCTTGTTAGCCTGCGGACAAAAAGGAAACGTTTACCTCAAGAGAAAAAACTCAGAGGAGAGGATATCATAAATCAGAAATAAGGAAAAATGAAAGATGAGAAAAAGAGAGGGACAGGGAAAGATCAAGAAAGAAGTAGAGCGAGGAAGGGTGGAAAAACATCATTTATCTGCGTCCCTGAGGAGAGGCCAGACATCTGCTGTGGGTGCACAGGAGAACGAGAGGATGACTGCCTCGCCTCACCTGTGCCGTCTGCTGTCCCTTAACATTATATTATAGCCCCCAAAGCACAACACCCCCATAACGGTTCTAACCAGACTGTGATGCAACCAATTAAAAGTCCTATATTACACAAAATGGATTCTTGTGAGCTTTTAATCATGTTATAATGTTGTTACCTCATCAGAAAACAGACCTGGAGTTGTGTTTTGTTTCCATACTATTCTAGCGAAGGTGTATGGAGTTTAAAAACACAGTGGAGCACTTCTTTTAGAGAGAAGAACTCAGCCTAAATATGCAGGGTTTGTGAGTTAAATGTGTGAACAAAACAAAACACAACTCCAGGCATGTTTTTGTTCAGGAAACAGCACAACATACAGTAGATCAGAAAATAGCACAATACTTGGCTTTAAAACGGCACAGTATAATGATGATTGTAATGAAATATGAAAGCTTCCCAGAGAGAACAGAAAATGCCCTAAAATGATATAGGATCACACTTATGCTTCTTGTTTGTAGCATTCTTTGTCCCAGGTTGCTGTAATTGGTTTAGATTTGCCAGGGTGACTTGTTTTTTTTTGTTGTTGTTTTTTTCAATTTTTTCTTCCTCTTCTTTTTTTTTTTTTTTTTAAACTCCTGTTTACTTTATTATCTTAAGTTCTTTGGGGACTGGGCAGAACTCCCAGTTACGTCCAGTTCCAAGTGCTTCCCTGAACCCAAAATAAAGTGTGTCCCAACTCAACCTTGAAAATCTAAACCTCTGGCAAAAAATGTACAAATTACAAAGCGCTTTTTGCAGATTATTAAACCATGTAACGCTGGAGGCAGAAGTACAGTAATCGTTCCAAAACATCAAATATAAATCAACTTTTTTCACTGGATAGACAAGAACAAGAACGTCCATTGTTTAAAGGTCTTATATTACACAAAATTTACTCTTGTGCGCTTCAAGCGATATTATAATGTTCCTTTATCAAAAATATACTCAAGTTTTGTTTTGTCTCATTCATACATGTTTAATCATGAGTAATCCTTTATTTTTAGTGTGTTTGTCATGAAGTGGTAGTTTTTAAGTTCAACCTTTTACATTTAGTTCAGTCAAGATTGGCAATTCCAGTGTTGAAATTATCCAAGTGATTCTATATATATGGAGTTTAGCAATACATTGGAGAACTTCCTGTATCACCATATGACATCACACGGTGGAATAGAGTGTTTTCAGTTTGAGAGAAAAGAGTACTCAGCTTAAATATGCAGGATTTGTGTATTAAACATGTGTGAATGAAACAAAACACAACTACAGGTCTGTTTTTTGACAAGGAAACAGCATTATAGCATAGATTAGAAAATAGCGTAAATTTAATTTTCAATTCTAATAATCTTGTTGGCTGTGCACTCTTTGTTAATTAAACGGCTGGTGTATTAATTAGTTGACCAAATGTTTTATCTGTTGGCTTGTTATTTTATTAGGATTTTTAAGACAGCAGCAGCAGCGAGGACAAGAACAACTGAGTAGGCTGGACTTTTGGAAATGACTGGTCTTTTCAATTGAGATTTTGTTTAACAGTACTTCTCTGTATTTATTGATACTTTGCAGCTGAAGTCATCAATATCTCTCACTTATTTTAATTTGGTTTTGTATTGTTTTTTTGTTTTTGTTTTTTTTCCTTTTGCATTTATTATTATTATTGTTATTAATTTATTGTCTTGTCTGTTGTTGTACCTTAACCAAAAATTGAACCTGTCAAGCCACTAAATTAATCATGCTGTGGTGATGGACATCATATTACACAAGCGTGCCCAGCTTCTTTGGGAGTCCATTATACAATACATCACGGTGTGAACCTCACGGTACGATATTTATTGCGATATCATGGGAAAACTCACGATATGGTGGAGAGGCTCACGATTAGAGATGTAACAATATCCAAATTTCTTGGTATGATTTTTTCATGATATACATCTCATGGTGAAATATTTATTGAAATATTTTGTGGAGGCAAGCAAAATATGCTACTTTTTCCTCTTAATATGCCTTGACAAGACTTAATCCAAAGAACTAAGATTTAAAAGTGCTTAGAATTGTTATTTCTTCATGTCGTCTGCACTGAAATGGAGCAAAGGATCATGGTCTATGTAGTTCCCTCTGTCGTTTTTTTTTTTTTTAAGCTATTGCTGCACCTTAACTCTTAATTTGAGCAAAGAGACTTGTAATTCAATATATTGTGATGGTCCATGATATTATTGTGAGAATTTTGACAATACAATATCACAGTATTTCAGTTATTGTTACATCCCTAGTGTTTTTTTCTTTTTTCACAGTTAACACAATGGCATAAATAATATATATGTCAAATGCCTGTACATATTTACATATATATACAAATGTGTGCCTTTGTGGGGTTATAATTTAAAATTGTGGAAAAAATAAAATTTAAATTGAATTGAAATCGAACATTCCCTGGGGTGTGACGCTAACAGAAATCTGTCTGAAGCTCTGTTAGTCAGATTCAGTTACACTTTAATCTGATTTTTGTTTTAACACTCTGACCAGAAAGAGCTGACTTGGCTGAAACTACAATAGGTGAGCTGATTTGTGCTGTTAAACAAATCTCTCACACTTACAATTACAGTCACAAGCGTGTGAACATTAGCCTGCAGTTTTTCCAGTTAGTCAGTCTCACCTTTCTGTAGAAAATCAAACACCTAAACAGGACCAGGAACGCTTCTGAAAATGTGCAGCTTAAATTCAGCTTGTTTCTTTTTTTCAGTAGTTTTCAGATCTTAAAACTTTTTGACAGTGTTTGCTAATGTGTGCATCGTGTCACCATGGCACCTCCTGAACATTCAGTCATAAGCATACAGGCAGAACACCCCCAAAGCGATGTCACTGCAAAGTATCAAATGTAATTTCTGTGTGAGATTCTTCATAATTTTGAGAGCTTTTGCTACATCCACGCTACATCTCTTTTTTAGTTATATTAAAGGGGCAGTCAGACAGAACTTTGGACATATGACCTCATTTCCTAGTGAGCCAGTGTGTTGGAGACGTGTGGAGACACTTTTTTAAATATTCCATCCAGTCCTTGTATTTGCAGAAGTCGCTGGTGCTAGGCTAGTGCATGTCAATGGCCATAGTTATCCTGCCACTAAAAACAGTCTTACCCAATAAACAAGGTACCAGAAGCAAAACAATTATTATGCCAGAATGTCGACATAAACGTCTGTGTCGATAGAATAATTTTAGAAGTAAAACCAACCTTGCATTTGAAGGATTTATGTCTGAACAACAGCAGCGAGTTATACTTCTTGATAGAAAGCTTGGCAGCAGCGGACTGATATATGAGAAAATAGTCCCTCAACATGTGACGATTCATGCGATGCAAGGTTAGTTTTATTTCAAACATTATTCTATCAACACAGACATTTATACTAACAGTCTGGCATTATAATTGTTAAGTGTCGGGTGTTTTGTGGAGTGGGTAAGACTGTTTTTAGTGGCAGGCTAACTATGGCCATTGACATGCACTAGCCTAGCACCAGTGACCTCTGCAAATACAAGGACTGTATGGAATATTTTAAAAAGTGTCTCCACACGTCTCCAACACCTGGCTGACTAGGAAATGAGGTCCTATGTCCAAAATTCCAGACTGTCCCTTTAATCGATACCCAGGGCAAGTCAGTGATCTACGTTCATAATCAGGTTTTTGCTCACATGGTCTAAAAGTAAACTGAACACAAATTGTTAATGCAAATGCTACTTTACGGTTCCAGGATTGTAAAAATACTGAAGTAACAGATAGGTTGTTTTTTGATCAATTAGGGCAGGAAGTGATATTTTTACTGCTTAAATTGTCTAAACTTATTCAAACATGTATCACTTGTACCACCATAGTCTGAGAAAAACCTGTGGGAAAACACTGCAAGTCATTAGTCAACCAAGAACTTCTTGAGTCAACAACCACACAAAATCATTGCGAGATTAACATATGTCTCTTATTCTTCGAGGAAGCTGAGTTCATTTTGCGGAGTCTGACGTTTACAAGATAAACACCTCCCTGCCACACTCACACCACAGAGCGCCTTGGGCCAGATGCTGTCCCCTTACATTTTGTCCCTCTCTCTCTCTTTTTTCCATCTTTCTCGCTCCTCTCATCCCATTGTTCTGCCTGGGCTGCCATGCCTGTCCTCTCCTTCCCACATTCCCCATCACTGTTTCATTTTTATCCTCGGTTCTGAGCTGGGAACTTGGGGGCTTATCACTCAGACTCAGCCCCTCCAGAGCTCAAACCATGAAGTGAACATGTGTTTCCTTTTGTTGCTTCTTTGGTTCGTTAATAGTCAGAAAAGCCTGTAAACCTCACATGGAAACAGCAGTCTCTTCGCTGTGCCTTCTGTGTACCTTTATACCTTTACCAATGCATCTGCTCCCTCTCTGCTATTTATCTGCACCTGCACTTTGCCTCTTGAGATAAATTTAAAAACCCTATTCTCCAAGCAGCAGATATTTTTATTTTTTGGGGTCGAATCAATTAAAACAAAATGCTAAAATAAATGAACAGATTCAAATCCATTAAAAAAGCACTGATCAAAGCATGCCCATAGGCAAACCCGTTGTCTTAATCTTAATGTAACAATCACATGGGATTATTATTGTTTGGCTGCAAGTTCTGTTTGTGAAAATTTAAGGAAGGTCATTAATTAGCAATGTTTTGGTGTAGAGAGTGAGTGTTTTTGTATTACTGTCACATTAAAATAACTAGAAACCCCCAAAAAATGGCTGCTTTTGACTTAAAGGTGCATTGCGCAACTTTTCTGGTGGATAGTTGGTGTTAAAGGTGCACTGCGTAATAGGGATGTAACCATAACCAAAATATCGTGATATCGTATCGTCAAAAGTCTCACAATAATGTCGTGGCCTGTCGCAATATTTCGAATTGTTTTGTAGTAACGGCTTATAAACATCGATGATTCATTGATTGATTGATGATTCATTTCAGATGATTCATTTCAGTGCAGAGAACATGAAGAATATGTTTTTTACTTGAAGTCTTGAAATTACAATGGAAATTTTTCACACCAAAATCTTGTCAAGGTGTTTTAAAAGCAAAAAAAAAGTTTCCTATCTACAATTACATCAGTCTCCCCAAAATATTGCATAAATATTGTACCGTGAGATGCATACTGTGCTAATATCGTGCCGAGAGATTTGGATATCGTTCCATCCCTACTGCATAACATCTAGTAACTTTGTAGAAACCGTCTGACCTCGTAGCGTTAGGATTCACTCGACAGTTGTCAGGGTTTTTTTTTTCATTTAACCAATCGTTGCTATTTGTTCGTGATGTATGTAATGCGCCACTAACAGGGCTAACTGGTATATTATGCTTTTTCCAAATCCCGTAGGAAGAAAGGCAATAACGTCTTTCCCCTTGATAAAATTCACCGAACATTCTCTTTGTTCCGGCTTTAAATCCTTGATCTCGTTGCCAAAACTGAATGTATGGCCTTTTGCTGATTGTGAAATGTCTAGTGTATTCTGATTCCTGACCTAGTCGCTGGAGAGAAATGAGGGCACTAGGTTTCTCCAGCCTGGCTACTGCCACTTTCTTGTCTCCACGGACATGTCATTGCTTGTTCCATGGTATGACTTTAAACATTTGAATCAAACATTTAATCATTACATGTGTTTGTGTTGCTCAAAAACACAGTTATTCCTCTTGTGAATAGGAGCGACTCTCCACAGATCTGATTTGTAAAGTAGAGCAGGGCTGTAACCTGCTTTTCATAGGCTAATCTACACTGTGGAACACTCAAAACAAAGATAAAGCAATAACATTTCCTTGGAGAAAAGTAGGTGGTAGACCCTTTTCTAAAAAATGTTATGCAGTGCGACTTTAACATCAACTATCTGCAACCAAATGGCCCACGTGAAAGCCAGGAAACTAGTTAAGATTGCATGATTCACACATGTGTCAGAATAAATGCATGGCCATGAGCTGGTGGGGTTGCTCTCCATGTCGTCACGCTCACTGCATATTTTACGACAGAGCATATGGATATCAAACAGCATAGGGTGGAAGTGAAATCAATCTCCTCACCGTGGACAACACAAGGTCTAATGTGCGGCGGCTTACTCATCGGAGCACTGAGGAGTTGGAGGCGTGTGCTTTTGCCCATTGCATACGCGCACACTCCCCCTTCTCGAGTGACGCGGCTTTGTCTGCTGGATATTAACAAGCTCTGGTTCATGGGTACTTACCTACTCATTGACGCTCGCCCCCACCGCCGCCCCGCTCGCCCATCAACGCGAGCCTGTTGACGTGAGCCGTGTAACAATCCTCCCTGTTTCCATGACAACCACCTGCTGCTGTCCTCCCCTCATCCGTCTCTCCTTCCCTCCTTCCCCATTTCACCACTCCCTCCCTCCATCTCTCCCTCTCCCTCTCTCCTCTCTGTTGTCTGCTCCTCCTTCCATTCGCACACTGTTGGTATTTCAAGGTCACAGAGGGTCACAGCCAGATAGTGAGATACAGACGCAGATAGGCTGGAAAAGTGGGCAAAAAGGGAAGTGATGAACAAAAGCAGAGGGAAGCTGGAGGACACAGAATCCCCCAGACATTGTTATTGTTAGCTCTGTGGACCCAGGACAGGCTCCCGTCCTCTCCCGGCCAAATACTCTACCCCTGTTATCGTAACCTCGTTTGTGTCCGCCTCCAGCACGACGAACACCACAACAGGTTGGTTTAACTGTAGGTCCTGCCGTTCCAAGCCTTATCTATGGAGCAAGAAGACAAGACGGGAGCGGAGCAGCAGACCAGAACATGCTCGTGCTCACTAAAGCAGAGCATTGGACTAGCCACATTAAGCAGTAAGCAATCGAAAAGACACTCTGCTCAGTGGTTTGCAACATTAGCTGCGTACTGCTGTTCAACTGTTCTCATGGTTATAAATTGGGTTAAAAACCCCACCGAGCTCGATCAGAAAGTGTCATTGTCTGGGACAGAGTGTGTGCTATCCAATCTGTGAGCACGTTTCGCTAATTGCCATTGAGGTAAGGCTGGAGCAGTGACCTTGCTAGCCCCTGGGAGAAGATGAAGCTTGACGTATGGATCGGCCAGCCCGTTGGAATCCATGGCTTTCAGTCCCTATGGATACAAGAAGGACACACACGTGTTACACACAAAACCAAATGTCTACACACATTATATTACAGTATGACGTCATGCAGCCCCAAAACACTTCACAGGGTGACAGGGTCAGGAAAAGACAGCGACTATGACAGGGCTACTGTAGTTATATCACTGCTCCCAGACATTTCTTTTCATGTCACGTCTCTGTCCTCCTCAAATGCACTGTCCTCGAGGGAACCATACATACACATTTTACATAATTAATGACATATCACAGTGCTATGTGATTGAAGGTTCACGTCCTTAACAATGGAACAGTGACTCAGAGCTAGCGAGTCTAATGAAAGGAAGCAAAACAAAAAATGACTCAGACTAACAGACAAAAATGTTACTGAGGTAAAGAGAAGTGCTTCATACCTTTGCTTTGTGAATCGTACAGTGAAGACAGTTGTTGTCTTGATCAAAGTGTAGGGTGAACTCCAAAGTTCCCAAGTAGGCTGCATAGACATAAGCAGAGCAATTACTGGAAGTAAACGGCACTCACTCACTCACGCACACTTGAAAGCTCTGAGTCATGTGGACAGCAGATGGCCTTTTAAAGCTAAGGCTACCTAATATTAATTGATCTGTCTGGTTTGATTACTGGTCGGGAAGCAACCAAAAGCCTGTCTTACATCATCAGAGGTGGATGATAAATCTTTAACGTCACATTCTCACACAAATGTGGGAGTGACGAATGGTTTAGGAAAATATTCTGCAATCCCCCTGAAGCACACTTTAGTTTTCTTGATAACATTTTTTGAAAACGAGGAATATTTCAACTTCATAATTGTTTAAACAAGCTCAGAACTCATTTGCATTTTTTTGTGATAAGATAACAACAATTACCATAAACAACCATGCTTCAGATTGACAGTTATTGCCAGACGGTTGCCTGAATAACAGATAAAATACCTGATCCCAAAGGATGAGACGGTACGATATTTCCATGGTGGGATAACCGTGACCAAAGCTGCCCGACTTTGTTGTGAGGACATTTAAGGGAAATTATCAAAGCAAAACAAAGTATCTCAGCCAACAGGTCTTATAACTGCCTATATATAAGGTTAAGTCTATAAGCATAACGTTACATGGACTAAAATAGACTTCAGCCTATTATTCGTGACGTGCATATGACGACCAAAAATAATCTATTTATGAACTCAAGGCTGTGAGGAGAGCTGCTTTTTCCACAGACTCAGTGAAATAAATGAGCTCTAAATCTCGTCAGGAAGTCCATCCTTGTGTTATTGATACTGCGGTCTTTTAATACTGCACTATACCTTAATATCTCAATACCAGCGATTGTCCTATCCCTGATGTAACTATAATTTAGCCTTATTTATTTAAACTTGTTTTAATACTTTTAAGTTGAAATGTACACATATTCATGAATAAATGTGATACTTAAAGGGAACATATTACGCTATTTTCTGATCTATGTTATAATGTTGTTTCCTCATCAAAAACTGACCTGGAGTTGTGTTTTGTTTTGGTTCATTCACACATGTTTAACGCACAAACCCTGCATATTTAACACTGGTCCACCTTGTGATGTCTCCACTGGGTTTAATAAACACAACAATTTCACAAAAATGTGTATAATTTCAGCCGCAGAATTGTCAATTTCTACTGAACAAAAGGTATAAGGTAGCTATTAATTGGAAAACAGAGCATTTTGAGCTTTGGAGATGTAAACATTGAAGTAATAAAGGGTTACTCAAACATGTGTGAGTGAAACAAAACACTAAAAACAACTCCAGGTATGTTTTTGATGAGCTAAAAACATTCTAACATGTCTTAAAACTCACAAGAGTCAATTTTGCGTAATATAGGACCTTTAAAGACAGTGATAGTTTTACTAGTATTGTGCGGGCTGATACTCACTGTCTTCATCATCAGAGTCAAACACCTCCTCCTTGTCTCCTTCATTCTCTGCTCGTCTCTCTCCATCCTTGAAACCTCCTGTCACACCATTGAACGTCTCCTCTTTCAGGATCTTCTTCTCTCGGGGCGGCGGCGGGGTGCAGGGGTAGTCGTGGAACCGGGGGAAAAAGTCTGAGATCTGAGGGATGGGGAGGATGGGTCCCGGGCACACGTTGATGGCGAAGTGCTCCTGCATAGAGATCTTGACGGGCGAGGGCGGGGGCGCGGCCACTGACGGGGAGGTGGCGGAGGAGGAGGGTGCCGACGATGAGGAGGAGGTGGGGGCAGGGTCAGGTGGGAGGTGGGGGGGTGCGGTGGAGGTTTGGATACACTCATGTGGACAGTGGAGCGCGACTGCAAGAAGAAGAAAGAGTAAGAAAAACATCACTGGGTTTCACATCAACAATATTTAAAGGTGTATCTTTTCAGGTGGAGGGTCTGTCAAATGAGAGACCAAGTTACAGGTCAGATCTGTGAAGAGGCAACCCCGCTCACGGTCAGAATTTCTGTTTTTCTAGGTATTTTTGCGCTATAAAACCATTTGTAATTGAATAAATGTAAGGTAGAGCTGCTTAAAGTCAAACTGTGGAACATTCCAAGCAGAGTAATGGCATATCCATAAAAAAAATCAGATGACAGACCCTCCACTTCCACCGGAAAAGTTACACAGTGCACCTTTAAAACAGATGGGTGGGGCAGGTAAAATGAATAGCTTTAAAAAGCACATTTTTGTTGTAATACGGTGAATTCTTGGGTTTCGTTTATAATAGAAATCATCAAGTCCAGCATTTGTGAATTCACTTTTTGGATATTTCATGACAACCGATAAGAAAAACTGAATCTGTGGACACTAGAGCAAGAGAAGAATGAGTAAGAAAAGCTTCACAACAAAAGGCAAAAGCACAACCGTAATCACACTGTCTGTCAAAGTCACAACTGAAGTTTGTACAGAAGGTGCAGAAGGGACACAACTATCTGAAAACAACAACAAATGAACAAGTCACAACTCCCCCAACCAGAGTAAAAGCTTGTTTCATTCGGTGACACAATCTTCTAGAAAAAACTTCTAGAAAGTCAAAACTGAATTCATTTAAAACCATTTGCACTTTACAAATGAGTCATTCATTGTCAGAAGAACACACAGCGTGAATCAGTGTTCAGACGTACTGAAGTAAACTGGGAAATGTGCATCTCTTGACTTGACTCTAATCCTACTCTTATCTTTTTTCACTCTTCCTTCTTACACATCCGCAGCCCCCTCAACAGAATTTACATAATAAGGCTGAAACTTTCACTCTGAAGCATATTTGTCACCTATAATGAAATTTGTTTAAAGGGCTCATATTACGCTATTTCCTGATCTATTTTATAATGTTGTTTTCTCATCAAAAACATACCTGGGGTTGTGTTTTGTTTCATTCACACATGTTTAACACACAAACCCTGCATATTTAGGCTGTTTTTTCTCGCAAAAGAAAAATAAATACACTCGGTTCCACCTTATGATGTCATGTTGTAATACAGGGAGTGAATCCATGTATCATTCATTCATTCGTTTTTCAAAATAAAAACAAAAATAAGAAAATGAAAAAACTACTGTTTTCTTCATTATTTTTCTCCAAAACGAAAATGAAAAAATGGGTAATGATTAGTTTTTTACAGTTTTTGATTTTAGGCTTAAATGAATAATGACTTAAACTGCAATGTCGGACTTTTGCGCTGCGTACGGACTGAACCAGGACTGAGTGTCAGGACAAGCCCAGAGGTGTGCCCATGTAGACCGTCGGGTGATCAGGAGTGAGACTGGGACCAGACCAGGACTGAGATTAGTTTAGTCCTGGTTCAATTCTGGTTTAGTCCTGGTTTCAACCTGTTTTAGTCCTGTTTTTTGTCCTGTTTTTGTCCTGTTTTGTCCTGTTTTTGTCCTGTTTTAGTCCTGGTTCAGTCCATATGCAGTGCAAAAGTCCGGCATTGCAGTTTAAGTCACGAAAATGAGAAACAGTCGTTATCCGTTTTTTCAGATATTCATTTAACCCCAAAATCGAAAACTGAAAAAACAAATCATTATCTGTTATTTATTATTTTTATTTTTGGTTTTGGAGACAAATAATGACGAAAATAATTGTTTGTTTCGTTTTCTTATTTTGTAAAATTAATGAACTAATGATACAAGGACTGAAGTGTTCCACTGTGTTTTTAAACTCCACGCATCTTCACTAGATTCACTTGAATTATTTCAGACCTGGAATTGATGATCTTTACTCAACTAAAGGCATCAAAAGGCAGAACGGAGCATTTTAAGCTTTGTTGTAGAGATGTAGACAGAGTAATAATAAAGAATTACTCAAAAGCACAACTCTGGGTAGGTTTCTGATGAGATAACAGCATTATATATAATATATAACATGGCTAAAAGCTCACAAGAGTCCATTTTGTGTAATATAGGACCTTTAAAGTATAATCATGACAGTCTCATAGCACAACAAGGACAGCTTCTCTGCGTTTCCAGCTTTGATGTTATTCTAAGACTTTCTACTACTGCCAGAAACACAAATCATAAGTAAGAATTTAAAAGGAATGAACAACAAAACAGCATCAATACAACAGATAGAAAATTACATAATTCAGCCTCAGTAATATTACTTATATTATGAAAACACCTCAAATCTTAAATATAGTATAAGCACCTTCTGTATAGTATAAACTGTAGGTCAACATTTTCAACTCTCATAGTGCTGTCTGATTAATTAATATATTATTGAGAACCTATTATCCAGTCTCTTTATAATTGGCTTGGGTTGATGTTGTAATTTTAATACAACAATGACCGAAAACAGAGGGATAAAAGAATTCAAATGGCATGAAATGGACTGAGACGATTACCTCTCATAAATGCCTCGACTTATGCCATAAACTAGTGTGGCGACTTTTAATTATCTGATTGTTTTTGTGTTCAATGATGCTTACAAGCAGTAAATTGGAATCCAAGCAGTTGAGGTTTTCAGCGAGTAATGATGTGTGGTTTTTCTATACAATTCAATTATAGAAGTCAGGAAGGAGCTGATAAGATTTTAATTTTTAACACAACTGCTGGAGGCTGTGTCTAGTCCAAAGGATGAAACAGGCACTGAAGAAGATCCCTGATTTTGGCAAGTTCTGAAATAATTTTATAGATCATTTCAAGTCTTGTGGGCCATAAGTGGTCTTGTACACACTGTTCTGAATTACAAAATTGCACCACTCCGAGTTGAAACAGAAGCTTATCCAAACTCTTTTGATCTACAGCTACCAAGATCCGAGAGGGTGTCCAAAAATATCCACGCAGGATGGATGAACTCCTTGCAGCTCCTTCGGAAACTTGAATTTCCTGAGATACATACCTCAGTGTTCCACTTCTGTCCGTCTGACTCATATCAAACCTGACACCTTTTAGCACTTACAATCATTTACCCAATTACACTTATATAACAATAAGAAAACCTCTCAGGGCACACATGTCTGTCACCATGTTGCTTTCAAAGTCAAACCAAGCCAGTGCCCTAAATATGGATACACAGAAGGCACGCAATCACAGTTGAAAATGAAAAAGGGAGAGAATACATACCCTGGGACAGTCTTCATCTGTGCCAGTCGTGCATTTTGCTTGCTCTCATGTCCTGCGTTTTCCACACACTGAGGAGCATGCAGACCAGCTTGGACTCAATATCTCCCGCCGTTGTACTCTCTCGCTCTCTCTCTGCCCCTCTTTCTGTGTCTGTTCATCACACGCACTCCTCTCCCGCTCCTCTGCCGTCCCTCCCTCCCTTTCTCTCTCTTTCTCTCTTTTTCCTCGGTTGTGACGTATCCACTTAAAATCCCCGCCAGTGAATTGCAGACGGTGCATATCTGACACTCTCTCAATCTGTGTGAAGAAGAAAAAAAATACACGGGGAAAGAAACAAGTGAGTTCATTTTAAAATACAAATGTAATCACGCTATTATGAATGAAATATCAGCGTAAGAGTCTGACTAGAAATGTGAGATTATATGTTATTTTTGAAGCGGAGATGTGGAGATCACTTCTGGAAAATCAGTCTCCATTTTATTTGGAGCCATTAGTTGTACTTAACCGTGATTATTGTCAAGGACTTTGTGAACTAAAAAAGTAAAAGCACCTACACAAAGATTCTTGCATATCTTGAATTCATTCACAACATCCTATAAGCCAATATTTATAGGTGCATTATGTAAGTTTTCTGGTGGAATGTCTGTCATCTGAAGTTATTGCTTTGCTTGAAAATGTTCCACAATAGCCTTACATTTATCTGTCTTGAATTTATTCCATTACAGGTGTTTTTATTGCTTTAAAAAACATAAGCAGGGTCGCCTCTCCACAGATCTGACTTGAAACTTGGCTATGTGGTGTCACGTTTATACTATGAAACATTTTGGACAAAGCAACAAGATCGCAGTGGAGACAAACAGGCAACAGACCAAACCAAAGATGTTCATTTTGTCTTCTTATGTACTTCAATTTCTTGTGTTCTTTTTTTTTTTTTTAACTCAATACCATAAAGTGTATTTTCCTTGTTGACATGTCTCGACTGCTGCTGCAAGTCATCTTCAGAACTGTCACCGGTGTTAGTGGTGACGTGTCGAAAAAGCAGAGGAGGAAAACCTCAAATCCACCATATCAGAGCGCTGTAAAAGCAATAACCACTGGATTGGGACGGGGCACGGGTCATTGGATCGGAAAACAACAAGTTCAAACTCTGGATCAGGGAGCCCGTCGAAATCAGGAAACGAGGTACAGACAGCATTAACCGTGATGATGGAGCGTTCCTCCTTTCTCACACCTGGGACACCCTCCTCCAGAGAAAACCAGCAACACCAACACCTACAGGAAGTAACAACAGCTGATCTACAACACGTCACCACCAACACCAGGTGACAGTTCTGAAGACGACTTGTAGCAGCAGCCGAAACATGACAACAACAAGAACCCAAGAAGTTTAGGCAATAGACCCTCCACCAAAAAAGTTACACAGTTAAATTAAATACAGATGCAGGGGCAGCTAAAATGAATATTGTTAAAAAGTTTGTTATAATATAGTGAATTTTTGGGCTTATCTGTAATAGGAATCATCACGTCCAATATTTGTGAATTTACCTTTTGGATATCTCATGGCAAAGTCCATGTAAATAATAAAGAAAAATTCACTCTTGCCCCCATCTCTGATTATATAATATCTGGCGTCTATAGCTGGCAGCACAGTGGCAGAGTGGTTGGCACACTTTGATCAAAATAAGAAGGTCCTGGGTTTGATTCTGGCCCAGATAGGGAGGTTCTTTATAAG